TAGAGTCAGAATAAAACCTGTATTTTTTCAGTTTCCCCAGCTGAAGTCATAAACCAGCTGGTTTATGATCTGGCTTTTCTTAGTTTGTACCAGTAACTATAATTTCTCTTGGCTTCCCCTGGAAATTTTATAGTGAAAGACAACTATTAAAATGTCAGTCATGTCTTGTTTTTCCTAGAAATCTGCTCAGAGGCAACAGTGACAAAGAAGCAGAGAAAAGCCAAGGCTACACAAACTTGAGTTTGAAATTGTGGCTTGCTGTCTACTGACAGTAGGCAATGAATTTTACAAATGAAGAAATACATGGGAGAATATTACAGGGAAGGACTTTGTTCCTAAGGCTCTTGGGTTTGAAGATTTTCTTATCTGACTTCATGCATGGCAGGCCAGAGAGTGAAGGAGTATAGATGCTCCTGTTCCAAAGCCCTTGTTAGACAAGGAGGAGACTACAAACGTTAAGAAACCCACCAAAGGAAGAGTGAATAAGGAAAGGTTGTTCAAATTCTGCATGCAAAATTGTTAATTCAAGATTTTCAAGGCCATCAGATGTTGAAGCAAAGCTTACTAAAGGACTGTTTGCACCTCAATCACTTCAGAAAATAATTTTTAAACAGTATGGACACTTTCTTTTTCCTGAAGCTTGATATTAACTTTATATTCATTTTATATTAACTCAAACTTTGAAACACTTCCACTTAGAAACAGTTATAAAGTGCACAATGATGTTAATGCATTATCCATCCCTAAATTCAATATGACATAGTATTAGAATGTAGGTAAGATTAGTGTTCTTGTGGAAGAGCTGGGGGGAAGGTAAAGCAAGTCAGGCTGTCAGGAGAGGTAGAAATCGCTGGGTTTATCCAAATGAGATATGGTGCACTGATTTTCTACACAACATTCCATAATAAAAGAGTAGTTATCATCACAGGTTTTCTCTGAAATTGCTTTATGACTGTTCCAAACTGGGCAGAGAAACAATAGGTTGGTTTATGTTTACTTATGATAGGTCTTCTTTGGTGTATCTATGTTTTTGACTTTTTTTTCTGCTATTCCATGAGTTCAATGAACTTGTCTGTTTAAAGACTCTCACCAGAATGCTGACAAACTTGATTGTTTTCTTTGCAGAGATTTTTCCAATATACAGTTTAACCAGCAAGTTTTGCTCTGTAAAAGACAATTTACTCCCTGAAGAAGACCTACTGACTTTGTGTTCCAGCAAGCTAGTATGAGGGAGAAATTAATTACTTAATTCTCTGCAAGAATTATTTAGGACTGCAGAATGGTTTTTAATTTGTGTTTCTATTCTGTTCACTCTATCACTTTAAAATACATATTTTTTCTGAGAAATAATTTCTACCTCTAGAGTTAGGGAATATAAATGTTCTTGTAGTAGAAAATTAATCTAAATATGTTTCTCTGTTTTTTAACCTTACTACTTTTAAAACTCAAGACATTAACTGGGTTGATTTCTTTCTTATTGGAGTACTTCAAAAGATCCCTGAAACTAGAGAATTGGTGTCTGAAAGGAACAAGTTGAATTTCAGAAAAAAACCCTTTCTCTTAACTTTTAATAAATTTCTTTATTTTCTGTTTTTCATAACTAAGTCTAAAATGGAATAGAAATATTTGAACAACTACTGAGTTCTTATTTGCCTCATTTCAAAAGTTTCAAAAATACAGGCAAATTTTTAGCTAGTTCTTAATTAAGTCTAAGTCTGCAGTTTGGTTTTGCCTTTGCTGAAAGATAGGTCGCCCTGATAATGCAGCATTGCCAGCCTAATCTGCACAGTTGTGATGGTTTCCAGATGAAGGACATCTACATTTATGAATTATTTTAAATTAAGAAATCAAATTATCTGTCTGTCACGGTTACTTAAGGTAGGGTGGGACATATTGTCATATTACATTTCACATTTCAGTTTTGCACTGAGACAAATTTCTAATTGTGAAGAAAATATTTATTAGAAGCAAGTAATCAAACTTCTTCTAAGTCGTGGCAGTTGTAAGGAAGGAGAAATTAGCAAGAGATTAATTCAAGAAATGTTATGCAAACATGGTGGATTGCTAGTTAATGATTAATTTAAAAAAGAATTTATTTATCAAGATGATAGATGAAGAATGTGAAGCAGAACATTGTTGTATTGATAGGAAGTGAAGAGGTGAACAGAAGTTACACAACACAATGCAAAGGCAATTTTTACCATGATTTTTCAGTGACTTTGACACAGTCTGCATTTTTTTTCTCTCTTTGTCATCATGCTGGATTTTCTTTGTCATCTTTGATGGACATGGCTCATGACATTGTTTCTTTCCAGCTTTAGTCTTCCCAACAATAATAAGACAATCAAGCTCCTTTTCCTTTGGGGGTACCATCAGAGTTTGATCTCTTCAGAACTAAACACTATCTATCATATTTGTAAATCTTTCTAAAAAGTGCTTAATGTTTTTTAGTTTTAGTTCTCATAATCCAATATTTTTAGTTTTCTCATTCATTACAAATACTAGTTTCTTTTAGCATGATAGCAGGAAAGATTTTAGAAGGTCAAAGGAAAAAGCTGTTGAACCATATGCAGTCAATTGGCTGACCTTTTTTTATTCCTACACACCCAGTAAAACTTTAAGGATTTACCTGTTGCATAAGAGATTTTATGTGCAATTATTCAGGGCATGTAGACATTGGTTCTAAGTTAACATTTCACACACTGGTTGAAGTCTTTTCTTTCTTTCAGCTGGCATGGATTTAGCCAGAATATTTTACTAAAGAATTATTTACATTGATTCCCACTGATGAAAATTTTGCTTCAGAGTAGCAGTACAGACTTTTGAATACCATACTGGTGTGATACCATGACTCTCCAGCTCTTTCCTTTTGTGAAATTAGACAACAGAATTGCTCACCAGCCTGGGTCATTGCACAAGACTTTTGCAAAAGTGTAAAATTCTGAGGTCAAGCAGCTATCACTTCTAACAATCCATTTGGTACCAGCTGTGAAAACTGTCTTGACTTTGATTTTCTACTGATCAGTTCAGAGAAAAAAAAAGTAATGCAGAACTAAAATTGTAGAGAACTTTTAGAACCATACATGCAAACTGAACACTTTCAAAATTTCCCTAACTGAACAAATATCCTAAACATCTTGAGAAATTGATTAGGTCTGGAAGGAATGAAGAAGCTTTATAACTGAAAATAAAAGACGCTTCCAAAAATATTTTAGTAAAAGGAATGAAATATTGCACAAATTTGGACAAATATTTAAAAGTACTTTTAACCAGTAAAAGTGAATGATGATGAATTTTATTCCTAATAATGGTGTGGAAAAGTGAAAATTGTCAATATGAAAGACTTTGGGTTAATTTCTCTGTTAAGACTGAACACTCAGTAAGTAAATTCAAGATATTCGTTAAAAAGACTGAGTTGCAGAAGTGCACTTTTTTTCTTGGGAGTTCAGTGGAAATTTTAGTGTTAAGATACATGTGTGTTTGGGCACAAGTCCTGGGATTAGAACATGGAAGGCTTGGTGTCACTATAAGCTCAACCTAAACTATATAAGTATAGCCATATAAATATAGCTATAGTGTAAATGACTAAAATGAACTTATTATTGAAACACATGTAAAAATATAGTACTAACACCTAACCTTCCCATCTTTTTCAGTCCAGGAAGAGGGTTACAATGCACCCGCTAAAGATACATAGACAGTTACTTTCTTGTATTTGAAATACAAGCGGTCATTTTAGGTAATGAGTATGCCCAACCATTAACCCAGCACTGCCATGTCCACCATTAAATCCTGTCCCAAAGTGCCACATGTAAGCATCTTTTAAATACCACTTCCCTGGGCATCCTATTGCAATGCTTGACAACTGTTTGGTGAAGAATTTTTTCCTAATATCCAATCTAAATCTCCCCTAGTGCAACTTGAATCTATTTCCTCTTGTCTATTGCCTATTACTTGGTAGAAGAGATGGATCCCCAACTTGCTATACTCTCCTGTCAGGTAGTTACAAAGACTGGTAACGTTTCTCCAAGACTCCTTTTTTCCAGAGTGTTTACCCCAGTTTCCTCAGCCTCTCCTCATAAGATTTGTGCTGCAGATCCTTCACCAGTTCTGTTTCCCTTCTGTGGACATTCTACAGCACCTCAATGTCCTTCTTGTAGGGAGGGGTCCAAAACTGAACACAGTATTTGAGGTGCCACCTCACCAGTGGTGAGCACAGGTAGAGAATACTGATGAGACTGAAGAAGTGAGATTTTAAACAACCACAGTTAAAACTCTTTGATAAGCAATTCAAGCAATGAAAAAGCATTATTCATGTCCCAGGAGAAAGTCAGTAAAAAAAAAAAATCAAGATATTGTATCTTTTAGCTCTAGAAAATGAGGAAATGCTTAAGTTGCCAAACAGAAATACATAAGGAAATGAGTCATAGCATTCTTGTTGCTCTTTTAATGAGCTTTTTGTGATTTACATTTTATTATGTATTTCAATAACATATATGTAATATTTTATTTTTAAGTTCAACTTATTAGCGTGTGATTGAAATATGCTCTGATTCACTACATAGTGAGGATTATTTTCTTGTTTTTAATAATGACCTTTTAAGTTTACCATTTCGGGGTAAACTATTGATGTTGGAGTTGTTTGGGGATGTCGGGGGAATGGGGTGGGTATGGTTTGGTGTCTACATGGCATTCCCACAGTATCTACTCTTTCTTCTGTTGTCACTTTCTATTTGCATTGTGGTGTCAGTAGTGTGGTATTGTAGCACTATACGAAGCACAAAGTTCTTCAGGGATACCCATGGTAAGTCACTGGCTGAAAGAAAAAAAGGGTGTATTTTCTGTCTGGTTTGAATCAGCATTTTCTATAGGAAATCCCGTTTGCCTATTTTATCCTGCAAAGCTTTTAAAGAGACAATGGAAGCCTAAGAGCAGAACCTTGTCCCCATACGATAGCCATATTCCAGCTCTTCTCCCTTCAATTTTTTTTTTTTTTTTAGGTCATATGATAAAGCTACAAGTGAAGAACAGGAAGAAGAGTTGTTGTTCTGACCTTAGGAGACACTCATAGCTTTTTGAAAGATCTAATCAGGTAAACACTGTGTTGTTATCTGGGACTATGATCTTGAGCCTAAAATCCCATGGAGGGTTCATAAAATTTCCAAAATAATGATGGTTCTTCTTTTGATATAATGGATCACAGCACTGAAATGGAGTGGGAAGGAATAGATGAAAAAATTCTCATTCACATTTACCTAACCTAGTATTTTTCCTGAACAGACTTTGATCCTTATCTTCTGGCAAAGATATATCAGTTTCCTCTTTCTATGGCACTGCTCGTCTCATCCTAGGTGTTGTACTGGAGCTCTACTTCTTGCTTCTCCATGACTGAAATGCAAAAATGAAATGTGAAAATGAAAATCTGTGCCTTGTAATAACTGTATGGAATGCTCTACCAAACTGTCACCAGGAAATGCAAATGTTAACACATGGCTTATCAAAATAGTGCAATGCACTGACTGCCATGTGTATTTTAGTACATTTAAGTGTAATAAGATTTTTCTACTGTTTTCTGAGTGGAGGTCCCTGAATACCTTAAAAGAATCTCCAGGTCTAAAATGAATCTACAGAAAAAAATGGGAACTGGGACAATTTCTCTCTTCAGTGCATTAAGTAATTTCAATGCTTTAAACACATTAGTACTATGAAAAGGACTATTATGCACCCCAAAGTTCAAACAACTGAGTTCTTTCATTCAAATGATGCTCCGTATCATGCTGAAATCATTACAGAGCTTGGTCGCTGCAAGTCACATCCTTCATAGGGGGCATGAATTACCACATTAAAAAGGGATGTTTTGTCTAGACTTATTTATGTCTTTCCAGACTTCCTAACTTCTAAAAAGTCTTATTAAACATTAAACATTAGATTTAATGTACTTAGGCTAATTGCTGTCTCTAACACTAAAGAATGTCTGTTACAGATAAAAGAGAACATATTAACTTTTCTCATATTTTTTCCCAGTTTTTCTACTATGATATTTTCTAGCTTACTAATTGGAAAAAAAAAATCCCTTATTTTGAATTCTGTTGAAATTGTTAACAAAAGGACCTGAAATACATAATATTTCATCCCATGTGATACACAGTTCTACCATCTCAATTTCAAAACTTATTCATAATTTCTACTATAATATGAAAGCACATCATGTATTAGCATGATTGTCTATTATGCCTTGAAGAGTCCCTTATTCTTAACTCTGTGTCTGAATTAGCTTTGATATCTGGTATCCTTTAATAAATAAACAATATAATCAAGTAAATTCCGTGTGGATGCTTACTAGTCCATTCTGTACCGACTCCAAACCAGGAACGGAATGATACATGATGGACTGAACTCAGTTTCCCACTATATATTCAGAGGTGGACAATTAAAGAATGCAAACTTTGTATTAGCCAAACTAGAAATGTTTAATCTCTGCTTACCTTCTTTTATCTCAGACTGTACAACTTCCTGAGTAGATATGTGTCAACATTGTTTATTTATTTAAAGCTATTTATCTAATTCAGCTGGCATAGGCATTCAAGACCTAGGGTGTAATTGTGGTCTGATTCTCCAGAAGTAATGGTAGCATCCCATTCTCATTTTTGAGTGCTAGAAAGTTATGACCTCAGAGTCTGCCTGAAGTACAAATGTTGCCTAACTATACAATGCAAAGAGATTTGACTTCACCGAAAATTTAGAAAAAGGATTCTTGTTTAATGCCCGCACAATTATAAAAGGGTTTTGTCTTAGGGAAAAAAAAAAACAAAACAAAACAAAACCAAAAGAGAAACGAGAGAGAAGCTTGAATTTGAATCCTATCCAAGGATTTTCTTTGTAAAAGCTGAATGCGTCCTAGGGTAGAGATAAAAATGTAGATAAAGATTTAAAAAAATTGTTCATGGTGGAATGGAAAGATAAGGATCTATTTAACATGTGCTTGTGTGGGCACCTACAACTTGGCAGCTGTGCTGGAGGTGTTTCCAATACTGCAAGTCTACACAGAAGCTCTGCAGCCCTGCTTCCCACGGCCACATTTCTTGCTCTGCTGCCTTTGAGGTCCTAGCCATTCTTTCCTACTTCTGTTGTCCATCAGGAGGTCTGCAGTATGCAGCATATGGTGTGTCAGTTAGGACCACGCACAGAAACTTGTGATTTGGCACAAAAGGTGACAAAACTTTGGTGTTTCCTAACAAGGCCTGTGCAGTAAATAAGTTTCAGTATGAAAGGGGAAAATTACTACTTTAACTAATTTCTTAATCAGTGGTATCTAAGGACCTTTGAAGTAGATCTCTACTTGGTTTTAGCTATGATTTCTGGGTTGCCATTGTTCCTTTAATGGAAATCACCATAATTAGGAATTCATTCTGTTAAAAAAATACTTCTTTCTTTCTTTCTTTCTTTCTTTCTTTCTTTCTTTCTTTCTTTCTTTCTTTCTTTCTTTCTTTCTCTTTCTTTCTTTCTTTCTTTCTTTCTTTCTTTTTCTTTCTTTCTTTCTTTCTTTCTTTCTTTCTTTCTTTCTTCTGTAAAAAAATTTTCAAAAATATATATATCTTGTTTGACTAGCATTTTCAGCAGTAAGTTTTACCTTTGTTAAAAATCTGTGGTATGGAGAAAGAGATTAATATCAAATACTTAACTAGCCACCCCAAAATTTAATCTTTATTTTATATATAATGTTGATAATAATGCTGAATAAGAAATATTCTGGGAGGGGGAAATATTACTCAAATTTTGGTTTTTCCAGATGGTTTTTGATAGACATGTTTTCCAGATGAAATTCTCTTTGGATAACCTGCCCTGCATCTACATTGGTGTGAGAAGACAGAGACAGTTGTGGTTTGGGCTTCCCTATGCTCCAAGGCAGACAGGCAGCTTTGGCACTGAAACTGCTATGAGCTGCAAGATCGAAATAATGGGCTGGGACCTTGGAACCGGATAAGGTGATGACAAAACCCCATCTGAGTACAATCTTGCTCAAAGAATCGTTTGTTTGCACGTGGACAACATAGCACCAAACAAAAAGATGGAAAGCCACCACAAGTATATGGTGGTTGCATGAGGTACTAAAGAGGATATGTGTGTTTAAAAATCTACTCACAATCCCATGATCTATTTCAAAGTGTCTATTTTAGCAGTGAAGTTGCCAAGTATTTTGGCAGTACAAGAAAATTTACCTCCTAATGTTAATATGGTTTGGAAGGTTGGGAAAAATTAAAAGAATATTTTTACTGTACCTTTACTGTACCTTTTGAAGTCTGTGATGGTTTTGGTCTAGGCCTTCCTGGTGGCCAGTTTGTAACCAAGGAAGTGGCCAAGTACCCAGTATTCCATACGATTTTTACGTAAACCAGAGTATAAATAAGTTGGAGTTTAGAGACCTCTCTCTCTTCTCTTCCGGCGAGGTTCAGGAACAGTGGGTCCTTGCGTTGGTCTCGCTTATCTAAGGCTGAGGCCTGCAGTGACCACTGGCCTGCCATGTGGGGGGTCCGGAGAGTGCTGGCTGTGTCTGCCAATCCTGCTTTTCTAAGGGAAGTGGTGAGATCTGTTTTGTTAATTACTAGTATAGTTCTTGAGTTTGATTGGGTATACCTGTTCGGTGTCCCTTTTGTTCCCTTTTGTCCTTTTTTTCCCCTTTCCCTATCCCTTCGGGGGGTGGATCCCCTTTTACTGTGTATATAGCATCTTAACTGTATATAACTGTAATTTACGTAAATATATATATATTTTTATATAAGCAGCTTGACTTTGGGTTCTTTAATTTTTTATAGTTTTTTTTTCTTTGCCCTAAGAGGAGAAGGGAGGGGGGAAGGGGGCTGCTGTCGTGACTTTCGGGCATTTGGCAGGGAGCCAGGTCCAAGCTATCACAAAGTCATAAAAGATGGTGATTAAGTTTTAAAATTAACCAGAGGGAGTAATGATGTTGTATTTTAAACAAGACTGTAAAATTTTAGTGCTCCTTGGCATGGCTTGAACAACTAGGACCTATAGGAAAAACTTTTGAATCTTTTTGACCAGAAATAAAACGTATCATTGGAGTTTAAGTTTGTACCCCTATGATTCTTAAGTGGAATAATGATGTTTATTTTATAATCTTGATGTAAATTTCCTAAGTGATAAACTGACTAAAAAGATTTTTTTAAACATAAACAGCTTTAGGTGAAGCTGTGGTGCTCTAGGACTCCTTCTATGCTATTCTGAAGTATAAAGAAAAACTGAGAACGAAATAGAGGTAGGAATTTATGTTAGAACTCCATTTACCCCAGGAAGTGTTAGAAGAGTTAGAAAATTATATTTTCTTGCCTGTAGAAAAGATAAGGGGAAAGAAAAAAGACCTCTTATGAACCTTATGTGAAGATTTACTATTATTATCCAGGTCTATCTGAAATAATTTCCTTTTATTCTGCCAAGCCCAAATTTATCCTATGGATACCCTTTTCTAGCCACTGGACTTTATATAAACCATGAAGTCCAATGCCCTTTACAGTCACAATGAAACTTCTACAGAGATGAGAAATAATGGATATCACAACACCATATCTCCAGCCTTGCAATGGTTGTTGATCTGACAGTGCATATCCTATGGTATTTAACTGAAATTCTGCAAACCTCTGGTCTTTTGAAGGCTTTCTGTGCTATAGCTTTGGGTGAAGATTTGCCATTTTCATGTAAGGATAGAAACTGAAAATAAACTGCTTTACCAAATTCTTCAAGAACATTAAGTAGATAATTAGCTGCACCACAGACTAATTTGTATTTGTTTTGGAAAGTTCCAGGTTTTAATCTAAGTGCTTTGGATTTAAGTTTGTCTTCTGAGAAAGCATTTGTGGGAAATTAAGGTACTTTGTCTAGCTATCTTATCTAATCTTCAGCTGATTTGGGATCTTTTAACTTTGAAAAATGATCTAATCAAATACAGTGGAGAGAAATACACAGCATTCACCAAAACCCTTCCAAAACGGTTGAGACTTCTGCAAATGCAAGAGATTCCATATGGTTCACCATAGTGGAGACCATTTCTTCAGTGATGGAAGACTTAGGTGATAAGTTACTGCTCTTCCTGGTTCTGCTCACAGCTGTTAATGACAGCTCACTCTGTTGCTCTTGTGTTCTAGACAACAACTGAGGCAAGGGCTACAGTGTCTGCTTTGGAAGACACAATGCTGACAAACTGAACATAGACTAGTCCTGATTCAAAGACCTTTTTCCATAGAAAAAGTTGAGAAACCACCTTCAATCTCATGAAGCTGATCTCCTTAGCCTCCATCCAGAGTCTGGGAAAGCCCAGTTGAGTGCCCCAGAAATTTAGACATTCTGACTTGGTGTCTATCCTTCAGTTGCCTCTGGAGCTAAAATTAAAGTCAGTGAACATCCTTGTACAGAACCAGTCTGGTGGAGAAAACAGTCAGTTTGCAGAAAGTTAGGACACAAGAAGTGTTCCAGATGGAAGCTGTCATCCCATGACCCAGACATACCATAGCATGGGAAACCCCCACAGCTTTCCAGTCCTGTACCATGTAGTCATAATAGCACAGAACAGCATTTTTTGTCTCAGGAATTAAAGTATGAGTGACTACACCATAGGTATCTGACTACACAGGAGGAAGGATGTTGGAGGTATCCAGGATGAGAAAGAGGATTTTAGAAGGTGGAAAGAGACAACTTCTGGTAATATGGGCCAGACGGCATGAAGAAAAACAGACTGTGTCTGTTAGATTGTAAGCCCTCTCTCAAAGGGGAGAGCAGGTTTTGTCTGATTGGTCAATGTCCAGTCAGAGACAGTTAGCTTTTTCCTTTTTCCAGAATCTTCCTTATCTGCCTATAAAACCCTTCCATTTTGTAAAATAAATTAGATCAGCTCTTAGCCCCAAAGCTGCTGTCTCTGTGCTAATTGTCTCCTGAGCTCGGCCGATACCTAACATCTGGATGAGACAAAATACAATCCTGCCAGGAACTCTAATATCCACTGCAGCTCAGCTGAAGGACCCGCTGGTCTGATGTGACCCCGACACCCCAAACCGTGATAGAAGGAGAACTGCCATACTGCAGCTTTCAAGTGTTGAGCTCATGAGAAGTTTGAAGCAGAAGACTATGAGTTTGTGACAATAAGAAAAATATTCAGAAAAGCTGATGAATAACCTGAGATATTTTTATTGGATTCTAATTCTTCCTACATTCCAGGGATTTGTGTTAGTCAACTCTGAATGACCACAGTGAAGATGGCTGTGACCTACTCATCCAGACTCCCTTTATAGTCGTTAAAACCTGAATAAGTACTTCTAGGATGCAGTTCATCTAATCCTAGTGTAGACATTGAATACAGCAGAGCTGATTCATTCTGCAAAAGTGCGCAGTTCTCCCCAGAAAACAAGAATTTAGACACCTAACTTGAAGGTCTGATAATAGACAATGTAATTTCCTTTCATAAGTTATCATGTTCTCTTTTAACTTCAGCCTACTATACTCCCTCAATTACCCTATTTCCATATTTTGATCACTTTGAAAGATGCTAAGCACTGAAAGGAGAAAATAGGAATTAATTATCATCAGTTTTTAAGACATCCAGTATGCCTTCAAGTTACAGGGTGATAGGTAAAGAATATTCCTGAAATAGGGAAATATAATTAAAGTATCCATTTAGTTGAAGAAAAAGTAGGTGGAATGCCAAAGAGTGAACCGGTAGAGAAACAAGTTAATAGAGGAGGAATACTATCACTGTGGGAATCCATTCATAGAAAGTGGTGTTTTTATTCGTGAACTAAGTGGCTGTGTGGAAAAAGTCCTTTGGTTGTGCTGAGAAATAAAGCAGGCAAGAGACCAGATTCATCACTTTGTACAATACCTTTATCTAATTTTCAGAGGAACCCCAATTTGGTGTTCAATTACCCATCCTCCCATTCCTCGTCAGCATTTGAACCTCTGTAGTCAGCTCCGGGTGCCTGGAATGGGCCACCTGTTACACACCTAGAGTAGGAGACTTTAAAATGAGCATTTGTAAAACAAAGGAAACACAATGACTGAATAATGCTGGTATGAACATTATAGAGAAGCCCCCTTTTTACTATGATACAGCTATCACAGGGTGGCACATGTAAGTTCTGCCAAGAACCCAATCGGGGGGTCACACTAACCTACTGCCCCAGGAACAATTTGGTCTGAACACAAAAGTAGTCTGGGGGAAAGGAAGATGTATGCCCATTTCACTGGTAGGGAACTGAGACCAAGATAAATCAGTGAATGTCCCCAAATGTGGTGGTCTGAGTCATCAAGGGCTGGTTTTACAGGACTATTTCAGCTAATACTGCTTGCTCTTACTCAGAGATCTGTATCAGGATTATAATTTTGATAATTCTAAAGAAACCCAGGAAAAACTGTACAAAGGTTTGGTTTATCTCTTTTAATTTTGTTTTTAATAAAACCAAATTTTCTCATGCTTTGACCGCTCATCTTGTTCTGAGATCTTATTCTGTTTTCAGAACTGCACTCATGAAATTTTAACCAATACTTGAACAAAGCTAAGTTACATTGGTATTTTTACTGCCCCATAGACTCCAGTAATGTGGAATGAACTTAATCAGATTAAATGAGCAAAGGAAAAATCTGTAGTGCCAGACCACCTCTCATGAACTTTTGTGTATTTGTGCAGCTAATATCTTAATTGGATTTTTATGAGGAATGTTTGCATATTTATCCGGCTTAGTTGTTTTCTGCTATAGTCATGGTCCCTGTTTTCTCTGAACATGTCTAGAGTTCTGTTGAACTATATGCAGTTCTGTACTTGGAAAACACAGAGGCAAACAAACCCATGGAAAATAACAATTTACAGAACATATCGTGTGACAAATGGTTAGATTAATACCCAGGTCATTACTATCAGACAAAGCTGCTTCTGTGAATAGCTGCATTTTTCATTCTTCATTCTTCATTCTTCATTCACTGCACAAGGAAAGAATGACTGAAAATGCTACTATCAGGGCTGGATTCCCTCCAGCCAGCAAGGTCATTGTTTGTAAAACCTTACAGGCACAGCATAGGGTGGCACTTGACCAAAGCAAGGCTCTTGCAGGATTTATTCAAGGATGTGGAATTTTCCATTGACCAAGAAAGGTTCACAATCCTACAGAGGCATACTTTGGTAGGGGACCATAAAAATAGCACTGTGATGGGTTGAGTAACGTTCAGCTAAAGGTTAATGTAATTACCAGGAAAAACCCTCTGCTAATTACAGACTGTCCTGTCCTTTAAAGCTATTATAATCACATTGCTTTCAGAACTACCGCTGGAGCTCAGTTAATGCAGTCTGCTATTCGTGTGTATGTGACAATTTGAGCCAGCTCAAGTGCTCTCTGAAAAATGTGTTAAATAATGATTTTACTGCCTCAGAGGTGAGGAACAGGAGCCTGGAAGGGCCTAAGGTGCTTCTGCTATTGAAAAGAAAAGGACAGAAGAAAAACAGAGGGCAGAGATCAAGTGCAAAATGGAGACAGTAAAGATTACTGCAACCACTGCTTCTGCTGGTTGGAGGCAGTGGTAGGCTGCGGTGTTGTTTCTCTAACCTCTGGCTATTGCCCCATGTGCTCCCCAGTCCTTGCAGCCCCCTCCTTCCAGAGCTCAAGCTTAGGTAAAATAGGCAGTGGGAGCTGCCCACAACAGCCTTTGACGCTTGCCTAATTGAACTCTTTAGGTACTTATTAAACACAATAGAGGAACTAGTTCATAAAAAAAAAGTTTATTCTATGGTGTAAGACCTAGTCGCAATGAACTAAGACTTAAATACACAGGCTAAACATAAAAAGTGAATTACAAGCAAGTGTTGTGACTTCTAAGCAGTTTTCTTTCAGTCCAAACACTGTAATACATCAGAAAACAAAATATATACCCCAAAACTTATGTACATATCTATTGTTTTTCTCATGATCCTCCAGATGGTAATAAAAAAGAAAACAGAAACAAACACTTAAAATAATAATTTTACCAACAACAGTAATAATAAGATATGTCATAATTTTGCTGTTATGAAAAGAGCCATAGGGGAATTTCTGAATGCTGGGGGTAGGACTCTTGCCCGAGACAAACAGGAAGATTGCTTAAACCCTGTTGTGCAAAAAGAGGTCTTGATTTGATGTCTGATTGGTGACAACTGAAATAATGGAAATCAGTCCCTAAAAGCAGCACTGTACAAAAGCCTGGACAGATGCTGAGACATGTGAGTACTCGGGTTCCTAGAGGAGT